GTCACCTTGAACTAGATCAGAAAGGTTTTCCATCTTCAAACATCAGAATCACCTGTGGTGGTGGCAGCCTGTAATTTGGGTTCTGCTGGGGTAGCTCAGAGCATTGCATTCCATACTGTCCTTCCAGACTGGTGGTCATATGTGTAACAACAGTAATGGCTGACATTTGCCTATTGCTTGATAAAGCACATCTATATGCCCTAATCTCATTTCACACACACAGAGTGAGTTTGTGTTTGGGTCATAACATTATCTCTATTTTACAGAGATATTAATGATTGCTTAGTATCATACTTCCACTAAATCATAATATTGGGGCCAGAACCCAGGTCTCTTGACTCTAATTCTTCTAGTCTTTTCAAAACAGCACGTGCTTAATGCTTATGGAATAATAATCACTGAGAAAAAGTGTCCAGAGCCACATGGGAGAAGATGTCATTGAAGAAACAGACCTCTCCTTAGGAAAGAATTCCCCAAAGAGGCTTACAATAATACATTCCACAAATGTATACCATTAAGGTAGGCATGGGACTTACAGATGCTCATAATAGCTAGGATTTTTTGGTGGGTAGCAGCTGGGGTACATGCATCTCAGCTGGGGTGCATTAATTTTTGCTTGGTAGTTGATAATTGTCTTAAATAGTTAGGGGCTGGTAATGCGTCTGTAGTAAGAAACAATTATTAACTTTAATTATTTAAAAAAAAATTTTTTTTTTGAGATAGGGTCTTACTCTGTCATCCAAGCTAGAGTACAGTGGTGTCATCATAGCTCACTGCAACTTCAAACTCCTGGGCTCAAGCGATCCTCCTGCCTCAGTCTCCTGAGTAGCTTGGACTATAGGCATGCACTACCATGCCTGATTAATTTTACTTTTTTTTTTTTTTGGTAGAGACGGGGGTCTTACTCTTGCTTAGACTGATCTCAAACTGTCGGCCTCAAGCAATTTCCTGCCTCGGCCTCCAAAAATGCTAGGATTATAAGCATAAGCCACAGTACCTAGCCAATTACTTTAATTTAATATACCAGTATCAAGTCAGAAAACAACAGTTTATAAGATGCTGCAGAAAACATTGCGTACTTTGAACTCAAGGTAAGGAGAGCTGATTTGCTGAAGGGTAACTGGTATTATCAAGGACAAGGGTATCTTTTTTCATTCTACAAATTTACACAAGTTCTTATTCTTAGATTTTGCAGGAGGATGAAACTCATGGCATATATTTGGGATGTACAACATGTTGAGTGCAAAGTATACTACATTATATTCATAGAACCTTCCATATGGTTTGCTTCTAGAAAGATTGTAAGATTTTCAGCATGAATTCTCGGACGAACTCTGGCTAATATAAAGTTCTTTCACATGCCTGAGGTAATCATTTCAAGCACATGGTCTCAGGTGGAGCCTGTGTTCACATGCTTACTCAATAGTAGATTTATGCTATCTGCTGCTGTATGCATTGTTTTTTTAAACCCACAACACTAGCTTCATGACAGGAGTAGCAGGAAATAGAAAGAGGACAGACTGGCCTTCAAGAACAGGTCATTACCCCCCAAAATTACTTCGGGAAAACCTGATCTTAAGTTATTGCAGAATAAATCTAAAGCAAATCAAAAGGAGAAACACAATAACAAGAAAGGCGATAATCATAGAAAGTAACCCCAGGAAAACCCATTCTTAAATTATTTCAGAATAAATCTAGGACAACTAAAAAGAAGAAAAAATAATAATAATAATAATAGGAAAAATATTAAATGGAGCCCCACCCAGCAATCAGAAGATCCTCCTTGCCAGTAGCTGTTAATGCCTCAGCTGCTAGAGACACTTCCCTCTTCCATTTTCTGCCATCAGTGCTACTTTAGTTGCCACTTCAGAACCCAGAATATCTTTTCATCACAACTCCCGATTCCCAATCCCCTTCTGTGTTTAACCTGTGGCTCTGCATTGAAGCACAGAGCTCTTTTTTGTTCCTTTTGTTATTAAAGGTGTTTACATGCACAACAGTGACGTCTACACCAACGATAGCCATCATCTTTGTTGGGCACTTGCTGTGTTTTTGGTACCAGGTCCTTTATGTCTGTCATCTCACTTATTCAATGGGCTAGGTATTGCGAGTCACTAGTACGAAACTGTTTTCAGGGATCAAAGCTCTTTGAATTGTTACTGGCTTTGAGCAGTGCCGATCCCATCACTGTATCGCTCCAAAAGTTAATCTTGGGGCCAGCTCTCACCATCTTAATGGGAGGAGTTTAGTATGTAGTATTTAGAATTCAATGGGACATTGTACCATAGAAAAGAGATTGCATTTTGATACTTTGGGCTCTTTTAATATAGGTGATTTCCTTTTTTTTTTCATTAAAGTCTGGCACTTAGAAATACCCCAACTCAGGGTGCTTTTATTTCTTAATTTATTCTGGATACTTCCATAGTTATTAAGGTGTCCATTATGCACAGCATGGAAAATTTTAAGTAAAAAATATCCAGCCATATATTTCATTAAGGTTTTGATTAATGTATATTAAAAGGTATAATAGTTTAAATTTATTTTATTTCACACTATATATCTAGTATATGTTCTTATAATGAATAGAAATAATTAGCCCTCATGTTGCCTTTTGTATCTTTTTAGGCTTCAGACAATTTAAGTAGCGAGTCAGTTAATATCAACAAACCTGCTATGGGCCAATTAGACCAATAAGACCTTTTTAAAAATATTCTTAGAAGTTTGGCATTTTAGAAGATTTTTACTCTCATATTCAAAACTAGATTTTTTTTTAAAAAAGTAGAAACATAATGAGGCCATTCTGGAACCTGTTAAGTACAGGTTAAATGTCAATCAAAATAGCACTACTGAAATGGAAATCAATGAAAATATGTTGTTTCTCCCTGAAAGTCATAGATGTGACTTTTGAAAACCTGCTATGTGGGTTATTCTGGAAGAAAAAAAAAAAAAACAAAACTAAAAAACAAGCTGGTGACTAAGTGAGAGGTATATTAAGAGTTTCCCACACACTATATAACACACAATCCAGCAATTCTTATTAGTAATAAGGAGAAATGGAAGACTAATGAACAGAAGGTAAAAGAGCTGGCAGGCTGAACTCACCACAACTGCGTCTCACTGGGGGAATGCACCTGAGTGCATAGCGCACCAGTAATTTAAATATATCAGAATTATCCAAGAGAAGCAAAAACTAAATCTGAATTCAAACCACTGCTTTGACGGCTGGGATGACAAACCGTGTTGCCCTTGCTGGCAAGAAAAATCCTCCCGTTTTCTCAGTTTACACAGTTGATCCCACCATGAGTCATAGATTTTCATATGCTCTCTACATATGAAAAGTATTTTAAGAATGTCAGATGACTGCTCTCTTTCAGATTTCCACTTCTCCTTTCAAATGTCCATTATTGCTTGTGAATAGTGAGGAGGAGTCAGAAATCAAATTATTAAGCCCACAAAAATGCTTGGATACCAGTGGCACAATCTCATAGGCATTTATCTACTAAGATAATTTAAGAAAAAAATTCTGATCCTTAGGTGAGCGTATGTCTGATTTTTATTCATTTCATTCCTGCTATACAGCCAACAAATATACCAACAAGTTTTCCTTGTCTCTGACAGACAAGCGTTCTAGATCTTGAGGTTTTGATGAGCAGGGCAACAAATCAACAACTGGTAACTCAAATTTGTGCTCCACAAAACAAACAAGTAAAAAGCTTATCAATGTTTCAATCACAGTTTAAGAAAATGATATATTTTTATTTTGGTGACAAGCTAGCACTCAGGAAATACTAATAATGATTTATAAGAAAACTTAACTTTGTTGGATCAAAGAGATATGGAAATTCTTTAGACAAATATACAAACACTGTATATTTTCACATACCCACCCTTTGGAATGTCTTAAAGGAATAAAATAAAAAGAAATGTAATTTATACATGGCATAAAGCACTCTCATATCTTGTGATATTCTTACTTGGGCAGAAGTTCTGATGACTGTTTTATATATTCTTAATGTAGGGGAAATTTTTGCTTCAATGGAGAACTATGCGTTTTTCAGAGTACACCTTTCCAGGTTTTTGGATTCTGATTTTACGGGACTCTGCTCCTTTCATGGCCTTTGAGCTATTTTACAACTCTGTAAGTTGTAGATAACTGGTAGCAATGCAAAATAATCCTTGTCTACAGACATGTAAATAAATTGTCTAGTGGAGGTTCAACTGAGCTTCCCTCCCACACTGTGAAAGAAGCCAGTTTTGCCTCTCTTTGCAAATTCATTTCAGTATTTCTAATCTTAAAATGTTTTTATTCTTTGGATAGCCCTTCGAGCTGGTTGTAACATCTTACTGGTTTCCTTATTAATAATGACAAATAAAAAAATGAGTTAAATAAAATATTTAGCATGTGTTTATTTTCTATCTGTATAAGCATCACGATTTTACTTTTATTTGTTTGGAAAATTATTCTCTAATAATAATACAAAGAAAAAGTAGTTTTTGAATGGAAAGTTTTGAAATTAGGTGTCTATAATCTCTGATCTCACAGATGGTTAGCAGTCTTCTCCTTTTCATTTTTCTGTGCTGTAATTTTACTCTTCTCACTTTTACTCAGCTTCTGTTCCTTTTTTTAACCCCAGATAAACTTTTTGATGATTGGCAAATCAATGCTACAATTAGCAATTTAAATCTGTGCTCCACAAAGCTAAAACAAACGAACAAACCAGACTATCAGTGCTTTAATCACCATTTAAAAAATGATATATTTTTATTTGGGCAACAATTTAGCACTCAAGAAATACTGCTGATGATTTATAAGAGAAATTATCTTAGCTGGACCAAAGAGATGTGGAAAACCTTTAGATAATTATAAGTAGTAGATATTTTCACACTACCCCCTTTTGTAAGTTAATATTTTTATTGAAACTATCCATAGGAACCATTACACTGTTTTCAAAGGAAAATTTCACAACATCCAATAAACGAAAACAGATTTTTATACTTACCGTGCCCCACCAGAGAGCATCTGCATATGTAGAAAACTCTTTATTGGCATCCTTTTCCACCAGGTAGACAAGGAAAGATGAAAAAATAAGAACCAAAAATCCTATGTACCAAGCCGTGATTAATTCCTAGATATAAAAAGAATGAAAGATTTTTAGAGAAGGAAGATTTTTGAAAAAGGAAAAAAGAAATCTGCATGATTCCATTCACTTCACTACATCCTAGATGTTTATGATGGCTTTTAAATAATCCTTTACATACCATACCCCAAAAGTGCTTTAACCCATTTCTGAAATGACTAACTTTGTTTGTGATAGGTTAAATATTATAGCAATCAGGGAAAACGTTTCAAAAGTTTTGTTCCAAAAGTTGGAGAGCAAATCTCACCTTGCTGTGAGCATAAACCACTGAACCCAGTAATTTCCAAGTGCCTCCCCTTCGGTCCATGCGCACCATACGGAGGATCTGTAGGAAACGGAGACTTCTGAGTGCAGACGTGGCAAAAATATTACCCTGAGTTTTTGCAGAAACAACTGCTATTGAAGCAATAAGAACAATGGTATCTGAAAGAAACAGGTTGAAACAGCCATAAGTAGCATGACTAGGATTTTTTATTTCTCAAAACAATATTTCCGAAAGGTTCACTTGGCACTTTATTCAAGATCAAATAAACAGAGTTTGCACCCTAGCCTCACATGGTGCCACTTGGGCCCTGCGATGACTGGAGAGTGGAAAGGTAGAGAATGGAACTTATCTATTCCTGTAGTTCTGACCTGTTGGCAACTGTGTGCTTTACCTAAGCAATTTCGAACCACATGGTATTCAACCTTCCACAGATTGGACAATGGCTTTCTGAAACCTCAGAGTTACAAGGAGCCTTAGGGCTGTGAGGTAGCCTTCCACAACATCTCTAGTGTCATTAGCATTCTTACTGGCAGAAAGGAGCTCCTGCCTCAGCCCCCAACGACAAGGCTTCTGGTTGATGTGACCAGGGAATTGCAGTCAGTCCAACCGTGAAAGTGCTGCTAGGAATGATTATGCCTCTTGTTCTCTTGCCAAAGAAGTTTTTATTTCCTTTATGCCAAAAATTCCCTAATGTGGAGTATACAACAGCACATACTGTTTAACAAAGGCCTCAACTAAGCTGAATACTCTATGTTTTCTGTATAGAGTAATCTTTATACCTGGCCCATCAATTATGTGTTAAGTTTGGTGCACACATTAAGTAATATTACATTTGTTACAATAGAGTACATAATTATAAACACTGTGCTGCATGGGAATGGATATTTAATGTTTGACACATTGACATTTGGTATAAAAAAAGTCTGCCTTTTTGTAAGCAAAAAAGAGAAAAAGAGCAGCTAATAAAACCACTGAAAAAAATGAAAGAGGACTTAATCACTCCAAGAGTCAATATCTGAGTGATGGAAAGAGGCGTTGAAGTGGGAGAAGTGAAGTGGGGATAAATGGCCTCCTGTGGTAATTTTAATAAAAGTTAGCTTGACTTAAATATCCTCAGATACAATTTCCTTCCTCCTCCAAGTGGGTTGTGCATGACTGGGCTTCCACACTCCAAAGAGGAGTTCCACTTCAAGGGTGTTGCATTTGTTATGTTTCTGTTATCCTCAGGATTAACTGTAGTATGAATGTGTATTCCTCATTCAGCTCATCCTTCTCCCTGTGCTGAGAAAGGTTTGGTCTTCTGGTGTGGACTGAGAACTTCCGAGTCACTCTGCTGGTGCCCCTTTATGGGTCAGTGCTTAGAGAGAGAGGGGTCAGTGGCTGGCAGTGCAAGGGTCAGCTGCAGGAATTTCCCCAATCAGATCCAAACATTATGTGGTGGGTAGGTGCCCCAAGAGCCACAACTGCATCCTTGAGTTACCACTCTTGGCAACTCTCAGAAAAGAAGAGGAACTAATGTGTTGACATAGACACAGAATACATATTTTAAGTGCATAGAAGCCAGGTGCAAAAGCCGTATGTACAATGTGATCTTATTTTAATAAAAACATTTATTAAATATGAGTAGGGAAAATATGTGAGAATATACACTGAATATTGTCGTTAATTATCTCTAGTGGTAGTAAGTTTGGGTGGATATGTGAATAAAGAAATTTTTCACTTTCTAAATTATTAATTTCTGTAATGTTAGAATTTTATTTTTTTAAAATTTAATTAATTTAATTTGTTTTGAGACAGAGTCTCAAAGTCTGGGCTACTCTTGTTGCCCAGGCTAGAGTGCTGTGGCATCAGCCTAACTCACAGCAACCTCAAACTCCTGGGCTCAAGCAATCTACCTGCCTCGGCCTCCTGTGTAGCTGGGACTATAGGCATGCGCCACCATGCCCAGCTAATTTTATATCTATATGTTTTTAGTTGTCTAGCTAATTTCTTTCTATTTTTATTAGAGACAGAGTCTCACTCTTGCTCAGGCTGCTCTTGAACTCCTGAGCTCAAATGATCTGTTTACCTCGGCCTCCCAAAGTGCTAGGATTACAGGTGTGAGCCACCGTGCCTGGCCGAAATTTTATAACAACGAGTATGTCTTTTGAATCAGGAAAAAAAAAACTTTTATAAAAAGAGTTACATGCAAACACATCTCTTGTTTTTCATCATTTGGGAGGATTTACTCCTGAGACTAGTGGTTTACAGACAAAGAGACATTACTTATGTGACCCTGCTGGATATACATTTGCTTTTATTTCATTGAAATATTGTTTTCTCCTAAGTGTAGAAAGGAAAGAAAAAGACATAACATTTGAAATAGTAGAAATAAGTAAATGGTAAATAAGTAGGGATGCAGAAAATACAACACTTAAAACTTACTATGTGCTTGGCATTTTGTTTAGTTTAAGTTGTTTATAAACATTTAATCCTTATAACAACCTTATGAGTCAGGTATTCTACAGATCCCATTTTACAGATGAAAAACGGCAGGCACAAAAAACATATACTGTATTAATTTAAAAAAATCAGCTATTGATTTGTTATATTACAGCACAAAAAGTATGCTATGAAGTTAGTTCACTAGAGGAAACCTAAAGAAAGTAAAAAGAACACTGGTGATTTGACACAATTTCAAAAATTATGCACACATTGAATGATAATCTCAATGTCTGAAGTTTCAAAATATGCAAAGGCAACCACAGATTTGATTTAATACCCTCATTGTAATTCAGATCAGATGAGAAAGTCAGAGTTCAGTAAAATGAAATCACAGATGAGCAGCCAAATGGCAAACAGTGAATGCAGCCACAGAAATGTTTCTGGTTGGGTTATCGTCTTCCACTGGAATTTTGCTGTCAGTACCACATAGAATATTTTCTAGGCTAATATTTTAGAAGTTATGGGTAATATTTTTTATTTTTATTCATGTATTTATTATTTTTGTGGTCCATTACTTTATAGAATGGAGGTTCCACAGTGTTGGATCATTGTTTTGTCCACTAATGTATCCCAAGTACCTAGAACAATACCTGAAACGTGGCAGACACTCAATAAATATTTATAGAATGAACTTAGATTAAAAACACTTAAAAGTAGCTTGAGCTTTGTTCTTACCACATCAATGGCTTAATAACTGGGATATCAACCTAAAATACTCGTAAGTGTACCAAACGATCATGTCAATATTTATTGAATTCTACTGCACCAAAATAGTTAAGCTGTCATCTATTAAAATTTATAAAAATTAAATCTCCCTAAGATTATTGGGAGAGTAGCTTAATCTGTGTGATTAGTTAATTGTCTAAACATTTTTTTGAAACAACTAAACTGTGTTTAGTGAAGATACCACATTTTAGTATAAGGTAGAAACTACAGATAGCCCTTGAAGCTCATTGGCTTCAGGTTCATTTGTTTGCCCATTCACATATTAAGCAGTTAATTGAGTGTCAAGCATTATGTTAGACACTTGTATTAAAAAGGAATAATAATTCATCCATTTGACCATCCATCCATCACAAATATTTATCAAGTCCCCTACTATGTATTAGGCACTGTGCTAAATGTTTTATGTATATTAGTGGTTCTGCATGGGGACCATTTTGCCTTCCAGGGGATACCTGGCAATGTCTGGAGACATTTTTGGGTGTCATAACTGGGGAGGGAGTTGCTACTGGCATCTGTGGTAGGGCCCAGGCTTGCTGCTAAACATCCTGCAATACCCAGGACAGCCCCCAGAACAAAGAATGACTCAGCCCCAAATGTAATAGTACAAGGTTGAGAAAGCCTAATGTACATTATTTAATCCTTCAACAACCCTATGTCGTAGGTAGTATTCTAATCATCTCCTTCTTATAAATAAAGAAACTGAGGCTTGTAGTGGTCAAGTGACCAAGGCCCAACATTCATATGTGGTCGAGCTGTGACTCCAAAGCTGTGTCCTTAAGAGTTATGGTATACCACTCCTTGGATAAAAAAAAAAAAAATCCAGGGCGGGATGGGGGTGGGGGAGGAAGGAAAAAAGGGAAGCTGTGAAAGCAGGTGGATAACAAATCAAGAATAAATTGTTATCACATAAAGCATTCAGGGAGGAGAGAAGAGCAGGGAGGATAAAGCAGAAATAAAATGATGCTAAAAAACAGATGGTACTTTTATGGATACATCGAAAGGAAATGGGGCTAGAGAAAGAAATAGAACTGTTAATAAACAAGGAGGAGCTCTAAATTGCATGAAAAAAAAAAAAGCATGTAATCCTGAGCTCTTAACATCTACATCTCCCAAAGGAAACAGATATGAACAAATTGGGAAGTAGTGAAGAAAGAGTTATTGATTAGAAGCAGCCCAGTAGAAATGTGAAATATAGATTTACAACGTATTAGTAAGTAGGTTCACAAACTTACTGACTCACTTAGAATGATTTATTCTTGAGATTTGAGGTAACTGCAAAGATTTGAACAAAATAAATACTGTAATGATATTTAAGACACACAGGGACTGTGAAAGAACTTATTAGATGCCACAGGAACTTCGCTTGAGTATTATTATTTAGTCAGCAAAATCAATATGAATTGATCACCACGGACCCTGTCTAAAAGGTATGAGTCACAGAAATACCAAAAAGCCCTCATTATAAGGTAGATTCACATCCAATGCTACGCTCTCATGAATGCCAGGATTGGGTTAAAGCAAGGCCAATTATACATCTGAACTTGACCAGCTGTGTTTTGTTGCCACAATTACACTACATAATGCATCTATTAGATGGAATAACTTGGCTCAATTTAAAATCACAATGGGAAGAACTAAATCACGTGGATCAAACAAACCATGGTTGAACACTTTTAAATTTGTCGTTGTAAAGACAGATACATCTCTAGAGGCAGACCACAAAGAGGATACATCTTGAGCCCTAGAAACTGACTGTAGACTTCAGGCTTTTTAAATTTTTGCAAATTCTAAGTTATTCTAGAGTCTCAAAGTTTTCTCTAATAACTAACATACATTTCCCTCTTGCCCTTTATTTATTTATTTTAAACTATTATTATTTTTTTGCTTAAAAAAATTTTTTTTAGAGATGGAGTCTCGCTATGTTGCCCAGGCTGGAGTGCAGTGGCTA